AATAAATAAATAAATAAATAAATAAATAAATAAATAGATAAATAAATAAATAAATAAATAAAGAAAGAAAGAAAGAAAGAAAGAAAGAAAGAAAGAAAGAAAACCAAATTTTACTAGTGAATACCAAAACTGTTGTGATCCATTTCCTTTGTGAGAAGCCACAATCACACATAGAGATCACAATCAGACGTCCCTACTTCAGCGGACTATCAATGAAAGACAATTTTTCCAGACACGGGAATCAAACTTGCACCTACCAAGCATTTCCAGCGTGAGATAAAGGAGAGCACTCTGTGTGTTTTCAGCATATTTTTCAAGTTCACTGATATCCCGATATGGTCGATCATCCAAATTTTTCTCCTAAAGGTTTGAACAGAATGGGTTATTGGAAGGCGAACTGCTCGTAACAGACACATTAGTGAAGATTAGCAAAGCAGCTCCATGGAAGGCCTTCAACACAGTACTCTCTCCTCAACAGGGAACCCAAGTGGCTTTGCATAAAGCAGAGGTGTTCAAAATGTAACAATGCAGCTTTTTACAAGAGAATGTACAAAAGATCGGAATGAAGAGAAGGAAACAGAAAGATGGCTAAATGCAGAAAAGGACAGGATTTCTTCACCTATACCCAGACACATAGCAGGAATTTCAACAGATGAAATCTGCGCTCTTAAAATTCCTTATATTTTATAGCTCTTAAAAATACAACAGTCCTGGCTTCTTTTGTACATTTGGCAGGAGAACAGTAGAAATGGAACCCAGGTTGCAAAATGGGATTCAATGTGCTTTGGATTCAGAAAAGAATCAAGACACCTGGCATAAGGAACTATTGATTTCTGCCTACTACTACCATCACTCTTTCTGTACGTCAGAACTAACATGTGGGCTCCCACCAACCCAGCCCGGAAATTAAGAATTATTTATGTAACAAGGTGGGGGGGTTTGGCTCAAAAAGTTCCCCTGTGCCCTCCAGAGATCGCAGGGAACAATTTTGCAATTTTCTAAGGCTCCCACAGCATCCATTCACATGCAGCAAACCTTTTAAAATAGCCTTTTAAATATGTATTCTTGAAGGCTTTCACGGCCAGGATCCGATGGTTGTTGTGGGTTTTCTGGGCTGTTTTGGCTGCGTTCTTAAAATTTTTCTTTATAACGTTTCACCAGTCTCTGATGCCAGCCACAGAGACTGGCAAAACTTTAGGAAGAAAAACCTTAACAACACGGTCAAAAAGCCTGGAAAACCCACAACCACCACCAGACGTTTAAATACTTTTGACCACTAGATGGCATAAGAGGGCTTTAGTAATTCTCCTGCTTTTTAAAAAAAGATAAAGTGGGGCAGCATGGAGGACATGGGAAGGTTGCAGCCCTCCAAGATCCAGGAATGGGTATATGTGACCTCCCAGATTTCTGAAGATTGGCCACCCCTACTATTCATTTTATGCAAGAATTAAATCCACTCTGATTATAGAACTTTATCCCTAGGAAATGCATTTAGGTAGCAGCCAGGAAGCAACAGTGTATACTCACTGGACTTTCCTGCTTCTGCTAGAACTGCCAAGTTATTCTCCCTTTTAAGCCCTCCCTGGCTGGTAAAAATCATCAGGGAGAAATGGGCAAGTGGGTAGGGGAGTGACAGACTTGCCACCTCCTTGCAACATCCCTAAAGCATAGACTAGTAACATCACTGTTGAAAAGCACTCCTTGAAAGTCCACTATACCAGGTAACTACCAGCCAGTCTCCAATATTCAATTTCTGGGCAAAATATTGGTGCATGTGGCAGTTCTTCGGGTCCGGGAGTTCTGGATTATCTGAATTTATTTTATTCTGTCTTTGGGCCTGTTTATGGGAAGAAAGAGGCTTTGGTCACCTTGGTCCATAACCTACCGTATTTTTTCTGTGTATAAAATGACACCTTTTCCTGAAATAGAGAAAACATTGATGGTCGTTTTATACACGGAAAGCAGCTGCAGGAGGCGGAGACTGGGGCAAAGAAGCAGCCAGGCTGGGCCACTTCTCATGGCTGCCCATTGACTGCTGCTGCCACCCAATCGCCCCCTCCAGTGATCATCTCCTTGCGATCAGGCAGCAGTGGCAACAGTCAATGGGCAGTTGTGAGATGCGGCCGAGCCCGGCTGCTTTTTCCCCTCAGTCTCCGCCTCCTCCTCCTGCTGCTGCGTCCACCACTGGTTGCGAGCTCAGTGATCGTCCAGCCCTTTGATCCCTGCTTTCCCCTTCCTTTTGCTAAGCCCCGGGTTTAGGAAGTGGTGGGGAAAAAAGGGATCAAATTTTCAAATTTGGGGTTAGAAAAGGGGGAGGTGTCTTATACATCGGGTCGTCTTATAAATGGAAAAATACAGTATATCAAGACCTGGATAGGGGGAGTGTATCCTGTTGGTTCTGCTAGAGTTCTTGGCAATACCATCAACCATGTTATACTTCTGGATCATCTCTCACAGAGAGGTCTTGGAGACACGGTTTTATAATGGTTCCAGATGTTTTTGGAGGGATAGACAAACGATAATGCTGGGGGACTCTTCTTCAACCTGCCTCTGGGTTTTTTTCAGAATTCTTCTTTGTTCCCTGTGATATCTGACTTATATACGAAACTGCTTGAAGATCTTGTCCAGAGTCTGGGGATTCAGCACTGCTAGTATGCTGATGACACCCAACTCTGTTTTTCCTTTTAATTAAAAACCAGTGATACTGTTTTGGTTCTAGGCCAGTGACTAGTGTCAGTAATGGACTGGAAGGAAGTGAATAAACAGAGGCTTAGTCCAGACAAGAGCAAGTACTCCTGGTCAAATGGAGGTCAGCTCACAAAACAGGGATGCAATCTGTGCTGGATAGTATTACACTTTCCCTAACAGTTCAGGCTTGCAACTTAAGACATGCTTCTGAATTTATCTCTGGCCTGAATCCAGATATCTAAGTCTTGTGTAGAAATATATTTGCATAGTTAAAATGGATGTCCAGCTGTGCCTATTCCTGGAGATGTCTGGTGTGGTCTCACTGATACATGCTTTAATCATATCTTGCTTGGACTGCTGTAAAGCGCTCTTCATGTGGCTGCCTCTAGAAAACATTTGGAAACTTCAGAAGATCCAAGATGATGGAGCTAGATTGCTCACTGGAGCTGGTTAGAAGGGGAACCAAAACTGCTTACAGCTGTTTTGCTGGCTGCCAGTACAGTTCTTCAAAGTGCCTGCTACAATGAACTAAAAAACTCAAAGCAACTTGTGCCCAAGCTATCTGAAAGACTGCAACTTCCTATATGAGTCTCCCCATATTTTAAGGTCTTCAGGGAAGGCATTTCTCTCTGTCTTCACTTCCATACATATAAAAGCTATGGAAATCCTTTCTCTTGTGTCTCCTCAGGCTTATACATATGAATGAACAGCACTGTGTGCATCCCAAAAACCATGTTTAGAGGACTGGAAAACCCATTGGAGCATGTTTTTGGTACCAGCAAATGTAACAGGAAGAGCAAAATGTCTCAGTTTTGCTGGTGCTGGATGCAGATAAACATTTCTGCATACAAAAGTACCGTATTTTTCCATGTATAAAATTACACTTTTCCCTAAAATAATTAGAGAAAAAATTGAGGGTTGTTTTATACACGGAACTAAGAGGGGAGGGGTTTGATCCTTGCTTTCCTCGCAAGAAAGTGGACAGGGAAAGCGATTCCTGCTTTCCCCCTATACTTTTGTTGCAAAAGCTGCTTTGTGGAGGGGGAAAGCAACTTTTTGCAAAGAAAGTATAGGGGGAAAGCAGGAATCAAAGCACTTTAGAAAAGGGGGTGTCTTATACATGGGGAAGTCTTATACACAGAAAAATATGGCACATCACTGAATCTTGGCCAATGTCTACAATAGAAAGTACAGTGGACCCTTGACTTACAGACGGCTTGACTTACAGACTTTTTGAGTTACAGACTTCTCTGGCCGCAAAATTTAGGTTTGACTTGCAGACTGAGATTTGACTTACAGATCAGAAAAAAACCAAAATGGAACAAAAATGTCCTGTTACGGGATTAATCGGTTTTCAATGCACTGTAGGTCAATGGAGACTTGACTTACAGACTTTTTGACTTGAGAACCGCCTTCCAATACGGATTAAGTTCTCAAGTCAAGACCCCACTGTAGTCTATGTGACATGTCAAACCATCAGATAATTTCAAATTAAAGAAAACAGTAAAAAAAAGTTTACAAGTTGCACTACTAATGCATCTCTGTTTTATCACAGTTTATCAGTCATGGTTTCTTCAAAAGAATTCAGAGTTTGATGGAAATGGTAAAAATGTCTTATTACTGATCCTATCTTAGGATTCTGTCAGGAAAAATAAAGATATGTCCCAAAATGAAGTCTGGTGTTTTGTTTGCCTGTTTTTAAGTATACAGGCTTTTAAAAAAAAAACACAAATTATAAACAACTTGTTAAGAATTCTAAAGAAAAACTTACCCTTTCATCAATAATTTTCATAAGCCACATTTTGGTCAGCTTTTGCCTTCTGATTGCCTAGAAATAATTGAACAGATTGTATTATTACTCAGAAAAAAAACCTGAATAAACTGAGGCAGAATGGTACGGGACACTGCTCTTATCTACTGGTCATATCTTCTTTATATGATTTACTCTTTCCCCAACAACCATAGCATCTTACAATCAAGCAGCCACCAAAACAAGGATTGTCTCCAAAACAGGGCTAAAAAGCCAGTGTGATGTAGTGGTTAGGATGCTAGACCAGGATGTGGGGAAACTGGACTTCAGCCCCCACTGAACAATGAAATTCACTGCCTGACTACAAGCCAATGACGCTCCCTCAGCACGGACTACCTGAAATGTTTGTTCTTCAGATAAAATGAAAGGGAAGCAAAGTCACGTATGTCACCTTGAGTTCACTGGATGAAAGGTGAGATACATATGTATAATCAAATACATAAATGAACAAAAATAAGTACGAAGATGCTCATATCCTATTTATTCCAGAAAGATTTTTTGTACTCATCATGTTTTTAGTCAAGCACTGAATTTAAATCAAGTTTTAGTTTTCTGACAATATTTAAGTTGACTCAGACAAAGCAGAGGTTAAAGGGAAACAGATAAGATAAATCATTCAGTGACAGTAACTAGGCACACAATTTTCAGACTTTTTTATTACAACTATTACAATTCACTAGGAATTCCCCCAGCCAGAATTCTGGCATCTGTAGCCAGAATAATAATAATAATAATAATAATAATAATAATAATAATAATAATAATAATAATAATAAATCCAACTCCTAAGAGGAATTTCAGCACACACACATGAGGTCCAGCATGTTCTTTTTTGCAGAGGGAAACAGTGGGTGAGACTTGCCAAGGTCGATGGGAACAAGGGGTTGTGGGACTAATAGTCTCTTTGCTTATTAGGCTCTGTACATTGTGCCTCTTTAAAAGCTACCAATTCTGATGAAATTTCATAGTTGTAGTGAAAAAAAATCCAAAAATCTCACACCTCAGAATGTACCAGGTTCTGGACATTTTCTTCAGAAGCCTGGATGCTTGTTTTTTAATATACAAATTACTCCAAATTACTAATGATGCTGTGTGTGACTGGGAATACCCACCGTAACTGTTAACAGCTACAACAGTATTGGTCATAAAACTGCTCTCCATACACAGTCACATTTGCCACTGTCAACTCCATATACGAGGGAGAATACACATCATAGGCATCCTTCAGTCTTGAGACACTATGGTAATGTACTCTGTATGGAGGACTTGGAACAGCATCTAGTGTTTTGATGCTGTACGCGAAGATGGAGTGTCCAGGGCACGAATCCTAGGTAAAATAATATGGAGGACAGGCTTTACCCAAGCAGCAAATCTCTCCTCTCCACGTCACTGAAATAGTCCAATGGAAAGGCAAGAGCCAATACAACTGATTTCAGTGATCTTACAGGAGTTGACAGAACGACACAAACTGCCTCCGGGACTCTGACTCCGTATTTTGCCTTGAGTTTATCACCTTTTCCATAAGTGGATATAGCCGCAAAGCAGTGGAGGTTTGGAATCGGAGTTTTCCTTCTCCTAGATGGGCTGCCTTCCAGGCTTTGGACCCAACAGTCCAAAGAATTTTAAAAACAATGGTTCCAAAGCAAAGATAAGTGTCAACGACACAAACTGCCTCCGGGACTCTGACTCCGTATTTTGCCTTGAGTTTATCACCTTTTCCATAAGTGGATATAGCCGCAAAGCAGTGGAGGTTTGGAATCGGAGTTTTCCTTCTCCTAGATGGGCTGCCTTCCAGGCTTTGGACCCAACAGTCCAAAGAATTTTAAAAACAATGGTTCCAAAGCAAAGATAAGTGTCCTTGTGTCCTTGTTTCCAATTTGCTACCAGTAAGGAAAACATGGCAGGCCTCCCATGTTTGGCCTGCCGGGTAACAATACCTTGACCAAACTTTGTCATCCCACTTTGTGATGCAGTTCATCCCCTTTTTAAATATCTGGTCCAGCAGAGACTTTTTGCCCCTCTCTGAGGTAGAGCCATGTTGTCCTCAAGAGACAAGAATCTGGAAAGCAGTAGAGGCTCGCTGTCAGCATAACCAAAAAAAGAGAGAGGAAAAGACCCCAGAAGACGTTTCCTCGAGCAAGAGATCCAGGGCAGGGAAGGACACAAACTGCCTCCGGGACTCTGGCTCCGGATTTTGCCTTGAGTTTAACTCCTTTTCCATAAGTGGATATAGCCGCAAAGCAGTGGAGGTTTGGAATCGGAGTTTTCCTTCTCCTAGATGGGCTGCCTTCCAGGCTTTGGACCCAATAGTTCAAAGAATTTTAAAAACAATGGTTCCAAAGCAAAGACAAGTGCTTTCTGTATTCTTGTGTCCTTGTTTCCAATTTTGCTACCTGGCAGGCCAATCCCATGTTTGGCCTGCCAGGTAATAATACCATGAACAAACTTTGTCATCCCACTTTGTGATGCAGTTCATCACCTTTATAAATATCTGGTCCAGCAGAGACTTTTTGCCCCTCTCTGAGGTAGAGCCATGCTGTCCTCAAGAGACAAGAATCTGGAAAGCAGCAGAGGCTCGCTGTCAGCATAACCAAAAAAAGAGAGAGGAAAAGACCCCAGAAGACGTTTCCTCGAGCAAGAGATCCAGGGCAGGGATGTTCATTCTAACTTGCTGCTTATGCTGCATTTGTGTCTCTCCACCGAGACGGCTGGCAATTGATGACAACTCCAAAAAGGGAAAAGAGTCAGAGGCATAACACTATTACCAGGTAAAGTACTCAGTATAAAAGTTTGGGGACTGAAATAGGTGGCAGGGAAGGCCAAAGATGGCATAGAAATACAGTGGTGCCTCACTTAGCGAGGTTAATCCGTTCCGGATTAACCCTCGCTCAGCGAATCCATCGCTAAGTGAAACAAAAAAGCCCACAGGAACGTATTAAAACTGATTTAATACGTTCCTATGGACTTAAAACTCACCGTTGTGCGAGTTTCCTCCATTGCGGCAGCCATTTTGGATGCCTCGTTAGCGAGGCAAAACAGCGGTCGCCATTTTGTTTTAGCGGCGGCCATTTTGGAACCGCGAATCAGCTGTTCGCTATGCTTCGATCGCGTCTGCGCGATCATCGCATAGCGAAAAAAGCCCATAGGGGCCATCGCTGAGCAAACGCTCCAGCGATGGCCTGGGACCCTTCGTTATGCGGTTTCATCGCATAGCGAAGTGTTCGCTATGCGAGGCACCACTATATCTGAGACAGACAGACAGACAGAAAATTATGAAAGCAGATCCTCTCACGCAAGAGTTCAAAAAAAGAGAGAGGCGAAACCATCCCATGGGTCTTCAGTTTAAACCTCAGTTTAAACTGGAGAATACACAAGCTATAGCCTATGGTACCAAAAATGACTGTAATGGAGTATGAAGACATTGCTCTTTGCATAATAGTAAAGTATGATGAAAAACAATACACCAAAAACAGTACTGGAAATTTCACTCTTTTAAGACATTCGTAAACTGCTTTGAAGCCTATTTTTAGTGGAAAAGCAGAGTACACATGTAATTGATGAATTAATTATAACATTTTAGTTCATCCTTGTTAAATGAAAGGTGTACACCAACCACCAGATTCAACTGAAGAGTTCATTTTAGCAATTCAGAAAATGCTCCTACTTGGCTTGGACTTGCTATGAGCCCTGTGAGGGCAGTCAAAATAGTAGCTATGAAAAGACACCAGGATTATTCTCAACTGCTCTACCATCAAGGGGCAGGTCAAGTGCCTTGTGTTGTCTAGCTGTGGATAATCACAGGAAGAGTTCTGCTGGATCATACCAAATGTAGAACCAAATGGATGTTCAACTCCACACATAAATCAAGTCAACAAAACACGGTGGTTGATGACAGAAGAAGAAAAGGTAATTACCTGAAAAACATGGTGTGTGAGGGGGCATGAGAGAAAGGTTAATGATCTAGGCAATACCACAGTGCCCAGAGTCTCTCTCTCCCCTTCTTGACTCATAAAGAATAGAAGTATGACTCATAAAAGGGCAATCAGAAAACAAGCCTGGACAAGTCCATTGCCAGAATGTATAGCAAACAAGCTGCATTAGATTTGGAAAGGGAAAAGGGAACAAGAACCAAGTTCCCAAGGTAGCAATTAAAAAAGAATTTAGAACAATTATCACAGTCCTTTCCTGAAGGGAGACACCACATACTGGAGAGAGAAAAGGGAGCAGCCTACTCATAAACATTCATGCCATCTGCTCACATGAGTACCTGGCAAGAAAAACACACACAACAATATAGTATAGTTATTAGGAATGTTGGAGAGAGAAAAGGGAGCAGCCTACTCATTAAACATTCATGCCATCTGCTGACATGAGTACCTGACAAGAAAAAAACACACAACAATATAGTATTGTTATTAGGAATGCTGGATGATGGCAGGGAAGACCCAAGTCCCTATTTTGCTAAAACTCTGGGCTGATCTCACTTTAACTAGCTCATAGTCACAGTGCTGTTGCGAAGGCAAAGGGAGATGGAGAGCCATATATATATATATATATCAAGCCAAGCTCCCTGAAGGAAAGACATTATTTACACAGGATATTTTTAGAACCATGGCTACTCTTGAAATGCCTTCTCTACAGCTGACTGAAAGACATGCCCACTCTTCATCAAGAATTAGAGTTCGGCAGGAGGAATGTCTAAAACCTTGCAATGCTTTCTGCTGGCTGACTGATCCCTCCTGATGTCTCTCAAAATCTCCATCCAACAACTCCTGCTGAAGTTTTCCACTTTCAAAATAAAATTACTTTTAAAAGAATCAGAGATTAATTAATGGGCAAATGCAAAAATCGACACTGAAAGACAGATTTCCCAAATCAAGGTGGGGAGAGAGGTAAGAGAGAGATAAGACTCACAGCCGACTGGCTACTATGCACACCTATTCTTTCACTGTGGAGCCAGGCTTATTTTGCAGCTGAATGGTACACTGCCAAGATTTTCAATACTACAACTCTTCTGGCCTCATTCAACAACACCTGTGATATCACCAGCAACTTTTCAAAGAGACCTAAATATTGTCTGAGAAGCTAGCAACATTTTTTCAGAACAGTAAGATTAAAATAGCATTATAAAATCACACAAAATCGAAACACAGAGTAACACTAATATAAATAACAGCAAATATACACGCATACGCTTATAAAAGGGGTTTACAAACAGAAATATTGAAACACTTTGGTTTCAACCTTGTTCAAGATGCCCCCAAAAACATGGTAATTAATATGGCAAGATAAAAGCACTAAAATCAGGAGGGAACTTTTGTTCTTCAAGATGTTTGGGTCTACAATTCCCAATGTAGTCTTGAGTATAACGTCACTGCTAATCAGCTTTGACGTCTATAATGGAGATTCAATAATTTGGAGGGTTGGGGGAGATAAATCATGTGGACCATCAATGAGACCTTAAAACACAGCACAATCAGCTTTTATTTGCTTCTGCAACTTTGTAATACAGCTTTATATTTAAAATTCCCCTCTCTAGAAGATGTTCCAGGAAAACAAGTTAATTTTTTTACATTTTCAAATGGAGCTTAACTGTCAAGAATGCATAAAACTTTCCAACCCACTCTTAAAAGGCATTGTGTGCAAATCTCACTGACTTCACTGGACAGGTTATCAAATTATGTTTTACAATAGTATTAAATGCACAGCTTCTGCAGAGTGAGATGGGAAAAGCTCAGACAGTTTCTTAGAAAAGGCCCATCAGATGCAAGATGGGCTTGATTTAAGCTTATTCTGACTTCCCCAACAGAGCCTACAGTTCCTTTGCTGAGAACAGAAGCTGCGGTCAAACAAATCCACTGGACACTCAGAGAGGGAAAACGGGCATAGACAACACTGAGTCAGATTGACATAAGGTCTAGTTTGTGTAAGAAATACCTGTCTATGATACTAAGCAACACACTGGACATTAAACCTCACTAAGCAAGATGATACAGATGGAATAGGGTGTCATCTCCTCTTGGTCATGGAGGAGCTTCTTCCCACTTCATCGAGTTCTACCTCCCTTTTCTTTTCAGACCTGTCCCTGTCTAAACATAATGTGCACCTGTTACAACACCCACCACAGTGAACTCCAAGCCAAAGTTTCCAACCATGGGCTCCCAAATTAAAATTTGGGCTAATTACTACTATTATGAATACTGGAATGCAGATGTATTTCTAATATGGTTAGCTCTTAATGAGGAAGAAGAGAAAATTGTGTATGAGAGGGGAGGAGAAAGCAGTGTTTTAAGTTCTCATAAGCAAAGCAAAGAAGGAAGGAAGGAAATTGGCTTGCTTTATAAACTGGACAGTATTTGTACTTATTGCCCCCCCCGTCCCCCCAACAAAGCAGTGGCACGCATAAAGGACTTCAGAAAGAGGTGGGAACTCTTCTATTTGCTGAACTGTGCAAGACTGGAAACACCAAGAACCAGTTCAACTGCTTAGAAAAGATGGCAATTGTTTCTTACTACTTCCAAAGACAATGGAAACCAGAAATTCAGCAAGGAAATGAGTACGTTTCAAGGTACTCCCCTCGTTATGTGCTGCTGTGAAACACTGTGTTAACTTCAGGCAGGTTAACTGAGTTGATTTATTTATTTATTTATTTATTCGAATTATATCCCGCATATCTGGTATATTCTACCACTCTGGGCGGCTTACAGAATATCAAAAACAATTTTAAAAAACATAAAAAACATTAGCATACAACAATAACAAATAGTGCAGGAATAAATAAATAATAAATAGCAAAGCAAAGAAACCAGTAGTTGACAGGAGGGAAGGGTTAAGCAAAGCTTAGAGAATATACTTCTTTGGATGATTCCCAGAAACTCCAAGTCACCTGTGCCACTGTGTTGGCTGGGGAATTCAAAAGCTGATGTACAAGCAAGTAACTTGTCCAACCTCTTTTATTCCAATCTCATTATGCCTAGCTTGCCAGGTGATTTCATGGAAATGCACTCCACCACAGGCTACTAACCTGCCAAATATTTAATACACTTTTCCTTAAGACTAACATGAAGATTACTTAGATACATAACGTATGGTTGACTCAAGATCCCTAAAAAGATCCCGAAAAGTTCAGCAGATCAACTACAATACCCAGCGGTCTCGTTCTACTTTCCTGGTACAGAAAAGGACCCAACTTTATTCTCAGCAGCAAACTGCAGATATGTTTGCGTTTCATATTGGAAATTATATTATCATGAAGGCTGGTTTGGCAAGAGGAAAGAAAATGTTTACAAGTGAATGCTATTACAAATGAATACTTTATACCTTCCACAGTTCTATTGCAACCGGTTGGTGTGGTGGGTCGTTGTGATACATATCTTCTACAGCTTTTCTCCAGAACTCTATTCGCATCAAGCCAATGATCTTTTGACTTACAGAGTCCTTAACCTGGAACAAAAACACAGGTTGTAGTAATACTGACACTGCATTTGATACAATGAGAAAAATTGTACAGTTGGAAAAAACAGAGGAACAGGAAATCTAACCTTTGGGTAAATTATTAAAAACTCAAAACAAAAGGATAGGTAATATATTTACTGGACCACTAAAATATTAAGAACAAGCAAACTTTCAAGTTCAATTGAGGCCCTCATCAAGCTGGGCACTGTAGAGCTCAAGAGGGCTGGTGGAGAAACAGAAAGAAACAGAAAGCATAACAGAATATATATTTTTAATATCTTAGTAGTCTAACAAACTCTTATTTTTGTATTTCATCAAGGACATGTTTTCCCCTTTTTGTTTCATTAGAAAATATTATTAAGGTGATAACTCTAAGTCCATTCTTCTTCCTTGAGGAAGAAAAAAATCAATATGGCTTTTGTATAGAGGCAGTGCTGGAACACTGACCTTCTAAAATTCTTTGAGACTTACAAACAGATGTAGAAGCCCCGAGAAAGTTCTACACCAAAGAGTTCTAGGTGAACTTAAAAATCATAAGCAGCTATATTGATCCATTATAGAAAAGCTCTAACACAGCAACCATGTGCTGATGGATGAGTCCTCTCACAGATCAGCAAGTTAGAAATTAGAGTCTCAGAATTAGAAAAAAGAGTACAGTATTCATAATACAGTTAAGCTATTAACAAACTGAGGTCAAAATACAGGCAACTAATAATTTCCATCTGAAACATACAGGTAACCGAGACTTATGTTTTACATTTATGTGGAAAGACAGGCTTCTTTTTTATTTAATTTAAACAAAAAGCCAGTTAGCACGAAACAAATTATCTAATACCTAAGTAAGACCAGCCACAATCTATGCAAAACTTCAGTCCAACTGAATGCATTCAAGAAATAAACAGACAAATCCCCAAATACTTTTACAAACAAAATGAAGCTGTTCATTACTTGACTAAAGCTTGCTGAAACTGTAAGAATTCAGCAAAACAGCTCGGCAGAGGAACTCCTGCTTTCTGAAAAGCTGAGAGGCAAATAGCCCTCAGTTACCAGCCACAGAGACAAAGCAAGGTAGCACAATCAAATGTACTTCTATGGAGAATGGAGAAATGCCAGAAAAGGCTGGTAGTTCGGTGGCACAAAGTGAACTTGATCATGCATCTTTCAGTCATCTGGATGTACTTACTTAAGATAAGGTGGAGAGGAAGTGGAAAAGGGCCTAAATCCCACTGCTGCTTGCAACTACAGTTGTTGTGTACTATCAAAGACATTTCTAAAGATCAGTAATTCAAACCTATGAACTGATGGTCTCCAAAAGGTCCTAACATTAAAAGCCCATCAAGACCAAACAGGTCTACTCTATTCAGGAGTACCATCTGGACTTAGGGCAGATGCATCTCAGATGTGAAGTAATGCAAAGTCTGGTATATACAGATGTCTGGGCATACATTTTGTTCAGAGATATGTTGTTGAAGGGAATAAAGCTGGCGTTGTTACAGAAACAAATAACGGAATTCCCCAAAGCTATTTATTGGAGCCATAGCTATCTGAAGTGTTTGGAAATTATCCAGAGTAAAGAACAAAGAGACAGATGTCTGGGCATACATTTTGTTCAGAGATATGTTGTTGAAGGGAATAAAGCTGGCGTTGTTACAGAAACAAATAACGGAATTCCCCAAAGCTATTTATTGGACCCATAGCTATCTGAAGTATTTGGAAATTATCCAAAGTAAAGAACAAAGAGTAAAATAGCAAAGTCTACAGAAAACACCAAATACAAGCAGATTATAAAGCATACATTAAAACTAAAACAAACATTGGAATTGGTCCTGTCCCAATTTTAAATATAAATTGACAGAATCTATATTGGCTGAACCTAGATCTACTCAAAAAAGTAATCAGGGGAAATAACAGAAACTTCATTGAATAGACCAGTGTAGTCTGAGACTAGAAAAGAGCAAATTTCATATTAGCATTTCAATAAATAAATACATACATACATACATACATACATACATAAATAAATACATAAAATAGCAAAGTCTACAGAAAACACCAAATACAAGCAGATTATAAAGCATACATTAAAACTAAAACAAACATTAGAATTGGTTCTGTCCCAATTTTAAATATAAACTGACAGAATCTATATTGGCTGAACTTGGATCTACTCAAAAAAGAAATCAGAGAAATAACAGAAACTTCATTGAACAGACCAGTGCAGGCTGAGACTAGAAAACAGCAAATTTCATATTAGGATTTCCATTTCGTAAACATTCAACATGTTATTAATGTATATTTTAATACCTGCCTGAGCCAACTCTACATTGAAGGCTCTGAGAGCAAAAGCTGAGTGTCGAGATTCTGCAGGCAAGAGTAAGGAACAGAGGAAGGACTCATAGTCACGTTTCCTAAATATGAAAACAAAAAGCCACAATCAAATATAATGTGAGCAACATTAAATACATACAAGGTGTTTCCATAGTTCAAGGAATAGAGGATGTAATTTCTAGCATATTTCCCCTCAAGACTATTTTAAAAACCTCACTGTGGTATAGTTTGTGGCATAAATTCTTAGAACCCTTGGAAATGTTTAGAGTAGCATTCCCCGTATGCTCCTTCACTTCTGTCCAAAACTCTTACTACCAAGATCATTCAACTCTTTCATTGCACTAACCACAAAGCCAGTGGCTTCCTGTTTCCTCCTGTATTAATAACATTGGTTCCTACCTTCAAAGCCCTTCTTGATCTTGCATCTCTCCCTCCAGCTTTCTTTTTGTACCTGAATATTATTAGTGACTGAAACGTTTGCTCTTGCAGCTCCAGCCAACACCAGTTGTCTAAAAGCTGGTGTGATATTGCAAGTTAATATGCTGCACAAGAACTTCTATGACCCACATTCTACATCCCACTGAGCCATGAAAATCACTGGGAGACCTTGGATCAAACACTCTCTTTCAGCTTGACCTACCTCACATCTTCACTGTGAAGATAAAACAAGGAAGAAGAAATCCCTGTACATGGTCTTGATCTCCGTGCAAGAAAGCCAAGATAAAGATCTACACTTTCTCCCTTGAATTGTAGGGGTATGAGCAGCATAGTTTCAGTTATACATGCATTTTTTCCTAATAAATAAGTAAACATTTTAAATAAATTTTGAATAATAATAAATAATGCACTGCTATTTGTCTCCAGGAAGTGGCCTGAGAAAGGTGGGTCTCGGATTTACAGAGGCGTCTGTTGTTGTCAGTGTGACAGACTCTGGTCTGAGGGTGGCAGCCTGACCAGTCCTGTCTTCTGGCATGGCAGCTCCATATGGCAGCTGATGCTAGGGCATGCTAGGAAGCTGATGTGGGTAGGGAACTCTGTATGTGTATATGGGTTGGGGTGAAGTGTGTGTGTATTAATCAGCTGTTTATGCTTTGTAGTTATGTTTTGGGGAGCATAAAGGTTATACACACATTTTGAACCTCTCAGACAGGGATAGTAAGATACCATACAAGGTAGCTGGGTTCTGTCTGGCGATTCTCAAGGTTCAGAAATTTCCCCACACTTGAGTCTGGTATTGGTATGGAGGGTTTTGAATTGCTTGTATACTTGTTTGTTTTATACTTGTTGTATACTTGTTTGTTTGTTTTATGTCTATGTTTGATGTTTTTACATACTGCAGATGTCGTGTGGATCTGGGTTGTCCATTTCTCTGTACAGTATGATAGATCTAAGAACTGTAAATAAATAATTGATTACAAGGTGGCTTCTAAGGAGATCATCACTCCATTGATCAAAGAAAAAAAAAACTTGAGTTTCTTGATATAGACTCCAAGATCACTTCTCAAATAGCCAGCTTTTGTATGGTGATATTAAGGTCTTGGAAATTCCATGGTAACTAGATACTAGATTTTAAATTGTGTTTTAAATGCCAAAAAAAATTTATGAAGTACCTGAAATTTTGAAATGTTATGGTAGCTAGATACTAGATTTTAAATGGTCTTTTAATGTCAAATGTTTTTACAAGGTATTTGGAATTTTGGAAAGTGTAAATGTCTATGTTTTTCCCTCTGTGATTGGTCTAAGGACCATAACAATAAACTGTACTGTACACATTTTGAACTACATGGAGGTCTGGTGTTCCCAATTCCAGCATTGTTGAAAGGAGAAGTATACACAATAAAGAACGAAGGCCTCCTATTCCCACACGTCTATGCAGCTCTTTATGGTCAGAAATGCTTCTGATGTCATCAAATCCTCTTTAATACTCTGTTTCCATGAAAGTAAGACCCAACCTGAAAATAAGCCCTAGTATGATTTTTCAGGATGCTCGTAATATAAGCCCTACCCCCAAAATAGGCCCCACTTAAGTGAAACCCCACCCTCCACCATTGTGCAGCAACAAGAAGATGATGACACGACTATCTGAATAAACGTAGATTGTTGTACATGAAAAAAAATCCCTGAAAATAAGCCCTAATGTATTTTTTGAAGCAAAAAGTAATAGAAGACCCTAGTCTCATTTCTGGGGAAACACGGTAGCATTAGATACAAAGGACTAAAAGCATCCAGTTTTCAATTCGCACTCTGCCAAGAAGCTCACTGGGTGACCTTGAGCCAATCATTGACTCTTGTACTAATCAGGGAAGATTTTGGGCAAGAAAAAAACTATGCAATAAAAAGGAAACATATACATGACACTGTGCTCCTTCCAGAGGTACAACAAGCCATTTTGGCATCTAGGATAAATGGCAGGTTTTCCCACTGCCCAGGCATGGGCATGGGTCTCCGCTAAGAAAGAAGCAGAATGCAACTCCTCTCCAAAGGAAACTTTTTGCTTTCCAAAAAAGGGAAGACGAATAGGGTTCGGAAATGTTGCTGCTTATCTTCCTAAAACTCCCCACTAGATTCACCTCCAGTTTTTGTGCCCTCTTCAGTTTCTGGTGCTCCACTCGAATTACAGCCCTGGCTCCTTGGGAGGAACCCTCGGCTGACAAGGCTCCTAAGTAAACAAATCACGTGCAGCAAGAGATACGTGTGCGCGCCTTTACGCCACCAGTCATCGCGACGTGTGTATCCCTTCTTCGTGTGAACGCTGCTCAAGGTTAACACGAGTCCCTTGAAGACAGGATATCCACGTCACTTCCGTTGGAATAGATGCACAATAAGCCTAGTCTGGCTGCAAATAACTCCGTCCCTTTCAAATCCCACGGGCACAGCTGCTGCAGCTGCCGGCTCGCCCGCCCACTCGCCCAGCCACCCACCGACCAGCCCGCCCTTGCAAGCACCGCGCGGCCACGGCGCCCGCCATGCTCCTTGGCGACGCCCACGACCTGTCAATCAGAAAGGAGGGTCCCGCCTTTGTTCCTCGCCTCGACCAACCAGGGGCTCTCCGGACGACTCCGCCTATGTTGTCAATCTGTGCCAGCTTCCTTCCCCCCGCCTAGCGTTTTTCTTTCCTCACCATAGATCTATGGAAAAATTCGAAGGGAGAACTTTAAAAGGCAAACGCTGTGTAGTGCGTTCCTATGGACGTACATTCCTAGCAGGGGTGGGCAGTCTGGCCTTCCAGATGTTGCTTGATTGCAACTGAGCGGGTAACCTTGGACCAGCCTAAACTCCCTGACAGGGTTATTGCCAAGGTGAAATAGGGACAAAGAACACCATCTTATTTATTTATGTTTATTTATTTAATTTATACCCGCCTATCTGGTCATTGCAACCACTCTAGGCGGCTAAGGTGGGATACAGGATATAAATCTTTTAAATAAACAGAGTTTTTCACCAGTGTCTAGTCTGGTTAGAGCTAACGGGATTTATAACTGAGCAACATCTGGATAATCAAGGGTTCCTTATCTCTGGTTTCTAACGTGGCCTAAGCCAACTTGTTATAGTCTTATGCTAGTAGATTTTTATAAGGAAAAGATTGGTGTATGGATTATTTAATCTCTCTACCTTTAGATGCCATCTCCAAAAAATTAGAGATCATCACTCTCCAGAAGTATTTGTTTACATACTGTATCTCATTTTGACGTCATCCTTCCTCCAAAGAGCTCAGAGTAGACTGCAATCCTATAATGTAGTTCAGGTTGCCTTAGGCATCCTTCAATCTCGAGAGACTATGGTAACATGCTCTCTATGGAGGACTTGGAACAAAGTCTAGTGTGGTTGAGAAGGCCAATTCGAGAGTGACAATCCCTTCCACACTAAAGACAAATACAACCTGTCCCCTACCCAGCTCCCTGATTTTGCTGCTTTTGTGACTGCCTCTTTGCCTCAACCTGCTGGACTAGAGTCTCTTCAAATTGGGAGAGACCCTGATGCAACGCCTGAAAAAACAACAGTCTCAACAAATGATGACTATACAGTATATTGCTGCCCTTCCCTCTTAATTTGCAAAATCAGCACCAGAGACAGCTGTCTCATTGTGCCTTGTGGTAGAGCTAGCCCTGCTACCATTCTTGCTCCCACCAATTGGCATTCAGTGGAAGGTTGACTACATGGAGCGGCCAGTTTAGTACAGAAAAATGTAACAGTATTATGTTAAAAGTCAGGCCTGTGGCCACAAGTATATCCTCAACAACTTTATACAGCCACTGATCCTTACCTCAACACAACGAAAAATGCCTCAAAATAAAAAGTAAAAATATATTTTAAAATGAGTCATTATTGTTGTTGTTGTTATTTATTTATTTATTTATTCATTCATTCATTCATTCCGCCTATCTGGGGGTATATTGGACCATCACTACTTAGTCATCAATTTATAGTTTCCTGCATGTTACAGGATGTTCCTGGCAAAGTCACTAGAATAAACTGCCTACAAACATCCACAAGGAGTGATACTTAGGTTCCCAGCAGTGTCCTAGGAAACCGTTGTTCTCATACATGTCCTGTGTGCTATATCCTGTACATTGCAACAACTAAGGAACAAAAGCAGCCTGAATGAGGGATGGAAGAGTATGTTCTTCTACCCAGAAGAAAATTTCACAACAGCTTGAGGACCACACATTCTCCACTCTGGTTGTTTAGCACAATGTGTTTTAATGCATGATGCTCAACCAACACACATAAATGAAAAAATGCCAGCCTTTGACCCAGATAATGAATGACCTTCCTGGTGATCTAGCATTACACCCAATGCCATTTTTTCAACATTGTATTGTGGTGGCCCTGGGGCATAAAGTGTGAATTGCCCCCACAGTTTACTATAGAACTGAGTAATCTCAGACGTTCAATGGTCAAAATTCAGCACCCAGGACACATTGTGGGTCACGCCAGGTTTTAGAAACAAAACCTGAAGTAGCTCAAAGGACTACCTGAAGTAGTCCAATTTTGCAAACCGCTTTCAGCAGTGAGGAAAGCAATATGAAAGAGAAAGCACAGAAACAGTTGTATTTTTTAAACTGGGAAAATGACCTGCAGCAATAGGACCACTTATCTGGAGGAGCAAGATGCCAACATCATTAATGCACCCTTTCTTTTGCATTTCAGTGTTGAACAGCAGATTGAAACCAAGAGTAACATCAACTAGGCAGAGACTTAGGGTAGAGTAGAGGTCACTGCTTGTTAAGTAACTCTGCACAGGACAACAACCATTAACAAGTAAGCAAAACAAAATAAACCTTTTTATGTGACCTTTAAGATAGATTTGTTTTTGTGTGAGCTTTTGTGGATAAAAATCTGTTCCTTCATTTATTCTGTTTGTTACTTTGCCATGTATTATTTTTATCATTTATAACTTTGAAAGCAGCTTAATTAAGAAAATTTGCTACTTAACATTAGAACATTTTAAATGTCTTGTTACAGTAATTACCAGAACAAAAATATCATACAACAGTAAACCGAAAGAACCTTGATTTCAAGTGTTTTCTGACTAAACCATTTTTTCAGTCTTATTAGTAAAGGCAAGGGTTTTTTTATGTTTGAAGAGGATAGATAGGGTGTATGGCCATAACACTAGTAAGATCATGCCCACCATGATTGGTGAGGTGGAAGACATAACAGCGAATGATGGCAAGTACAGCTTGTCTAAAGTGATTGTTGTTGTTGTTTAGTCGTTAAATTGTGTCTGACTTTTTGTAACCCCATGGACCAGAGCATGCCAGGCTCTCCTGTCTTCCACTGCTTCCTGGAGTTGGTCAAATTCATGTTGGTAGCTTTGATGACACTGTCCATCCATCTCATCCTCTGTTGTCCCCTTCTCCTCTTGCCTTCACACTTTCCCAACGTCTGGGTCTTTTCCAGGGAGTCTTCTCTTCTCATGAGATGGCCAAAGTATTGGAGCCTCAGCTTCAGGATCTGTCCTTCCAATGAGCACTCAGGGTTGATTTTTAATTATTTAATTTAATTATTTTTAATTATTGCTTTTTCCTTTCCCTTTCCCAGGGAACCCTCTGCTAGAGCAGTGGTTCTTAACCTTTTTGAAAGAAACGCCCCCTTGAGCCATTGAGGAAGTTATCATCGCCCCCTCTTATTTCTTATTATATCTTATTTGTTTGTTTGTTTGTTTGTTTGTTTGTTTGTTTGTTTAAGACACTTAAATCCAATGACCCCTGAAAACAAAATTCAATTCCAAGAAAATGAAATGCCCCCAAAAATTAACATTTAATGATTTAGTTGCTAGCGAATTTTAAGACTCAAAAAGAAATATAAAAAGGGCATAAAATGCAGGAACTAAAAATTTCAAGACGAAAACTCTGAAACTAAATTAAGACAGGAGGAAAATATATATTCATGCACATTGTAAAAAGGCTGCAGCCATCTTCACAGGTTTGGCTTGCTCCAGCGCCCCCCTACCGCCCCCCTTCTGCTCCAGCGCAGCCACGCCGCCCCTTTTCGTTCTACCACCCCCCTGAAAAATGAAATCGCCCCCTGGGGGGCATTATCGCCCAGGTTAAGAACCACTGTGCTAGAGTACAATCACTGAAGGAAATGCAGTTTTATTCCATCTTGTTGCCTGAGGTGACACACAAAAAACAGCAGAGGGAATTACTGAAGACATTTACTTGGATGACTTTTATGGTTGTTAGCTCTCCTAAATATACAAGATAAACATTCTTTCTGTTTCTGTTTGATGCAAATTTATTCAATAGAAGCTTTGTTATGATACCTATTTCTTATCTTGCACCTGGTATTATTGCCGGTCATTTAGCCAAGCAGCACACCCTCTTCTGAGTGGCTAAAAATAGCATAGCTAAGAGTTTCTGCAAACTGGGAAAAACTACATACACTATGCAATCTCATACATATCTACTGAGAAGTAAGCTTCATTGACTTCAATGCTTCTCACAGTATTCCAAAATCGATTAGAGTATATAGTATCGAATTATTCTGTAGCCCTTTCACTTAATGTAGCCAAATAGGCCCTTGTGTTCACTTAACAAGAGACATTGTTAAGATTTCAGTGTAGTGGTTTAGTAGACAGGGGATGTGGTGTACTGTTATTTGAAAAGAATTGCAGAAAATGCTATTGGCAATAAATAAATAGTTGTAGCCTCAAGAGGTATTGTTGAGCTTTTTTGCTGTGTCTGAATGATAACAATAAATGTTGGTGTTTGCAAAAGATTCCTCCAGTTTATCTAACAGAATGCATATACAACAGCCATTAGAAACAAAATGCAATAGCTGTAATACAGCAAAGGTTTGGCAAGCTCTGCATCCCACTTATGTCGTATCACACCTTTGTGATAAGTTTGTAAAATGATATGTATTAATATCATAAATAAAAATGAAGGAATGTGAACTAAAAGCAGAGGCATTTTACTGCCAGCTTCTCCCATGCTGAATCTGAAGTAAATCCTATTAAGTTCAATGAGACTTACATCTAGGAAACTCTGCACAGGACTACCATGTGGAACACAGAATCTGACAGTACACATCACATATCGGGATGGTATAAAATTAGGAATGATTACAAATGCTGAGACACTTATTTTTTAAAAAACTGTGTTTCAAGAGATTCTATGGTTGCTAGCACATTTACTAAGCTTAACAAATAATGCACAACCAGACAAAATACAAGTGAAGTGCAATGCAGGGTATGCAAAGTAAAGTGTATTGCAGCAATCCCCAACCTGGGGTATGTGTACCCCCAGGAGTACAAACCAGAACAATTAGGGGTAATTCGAAAAAAATGGAATAATGGTGGGAAAGGCACACACATCAACAACGTAAGGGCTCAATCAAATGTGAGAAAAGAACCCCAATTATACCAATTCTATTGATATCTCTGTTGTACTAATTTTAAGGTGTCACATGTTATATGTATCAGTGAAAGTGTGCTCATTGTGTTTAACTATCAGTTCATTT